ATTCTGCAGCCTACACCTCCTGATGACCTCTCCCAGTGGTTCCATGTAGATGTTGAATAGCAAGGGGGACAAGATGGACCCCTGCGGAACTCCATGGTGTAACTGCCATGGCGCAGAGCCATAGTCCCCCAGCACCACCTTCTGAAATCGGCCGTTGAGATAGGAGTAGAACCAATGCCACGCGGTGCCTCCAACTCCCAATCCTGCTAGCCTATTCAGAAGGATACCATGGTCGATGGTATCAAAAGTCGCTGCGAGGTCCCAAAGAACTAACAGGGATGCACTCCCCCCGTCTCTCTCCATGCACAGGTCATTGTACAGAGCGACCAAGGCAGATTCAGTGCCATACCCGGGTCTGAAGCCGGACTGAAATGGGTCCAGATAATCAGTTTCATCCAAGAGTGCTTGGAGTTGCCCCGCCACCACCCACTCTAGCACCTTGCCCAGGAATGGGATGTTGGCCACTGGTCTATAATTGGTGGCCACCTCTGGATTCCGGGATGCCTTCTTTAGAACTGGCTGGACTACCGCCTCTTTTAAAGAGGAAGGTACCCGACCGTCTCTTAAAGAGGCATTGACCACCTCCAGGATCCAGGTCCCAATCCCGTCCTTGGCTTTCTTAAGTAGCCAAGATGGGCATGGGTCTAGTAAGCAGGTGGCAGGGCGTATTTGTCCAAGCACCTTGTCCACATCATCAGGCTGCAACAACTGAAATTCATCCATTAAATGTGGACTCGATGGTGTCTGAGCGATTTTCTCCTTGAAATGCCTGGCAAAGTCATCACAGCGGGCCTTCGAGGGTGGTACGAGATCTTTCTTTTGGCCCGGATGTATCAGCCCTTGTACCACCCGAAAGAGCTCCGCCGGACGGCATTGTGTGGAGGCAATGGAAGCGGAGAAGAATTTCTTCTTCGCCATCCTCACCGCCACAGCATAGGCTCGATAGTGGGCTCTTAAGTGTGTTCAGTCAGATTCACCCCATGATCTCCTCCACCTATATTCTAGACGTCTCCCAACCTGCTTCATTGCCCGTAATTCTGGTGTATACCAAGGAGATGAACGGGCTCTGTCAGGTGGGAGAGGATGCTTGGGAGTGATCGTGTCAATAGCCCTGGTCATTTCCTCATTCCATAGTTCAACCAGGGCATCGACAGGATCACCAGCCTTGTCAACCGGAAAATCCCCCAGAGCTTTCAGGAATCCATCAGGATCCATCCAGCTCCGGGGGCAGACCAATACAATTGGGTCCGCACCCTTACAGAGGGAAAGGCCACTCTCGAGCTCAAACCTTATGAGGAAGTGATCTGACTGTGACAAGGGCGTCAAACTTAAATTCCTCACCCTCAGATCACCCTCTTCCTGCCCCGTTGAGAAAACCAGGTCCAGAGTGTGTCCATGTTCATGGGTCGGGACACTGACATGTTGAGACAGGCCCATGGCCGCCATGGAGGCCATGAAGTCCTGAGCCGCCCCGGTTAGAACCGTCTCGGCATGGAGATTAAAGTCCCCCAGGACCAACATCCTGGGAGTCTTCAACACCAGGTCCGAGACGATCTCCGACAGCTCAGGCAGGGAGTCTGTTGGGCAGAAGGGTGCACGGTATACCAACAGAATCCCCAGTCTGTCTCAGTCGCCCAACACCAAGTGGAGGCACTCCAGCCCCGGCCTCGAGAGGACAGGAAGCCCCACAAGGGGAAACCCTGATGAAAACACCTAACAGGAGCAGTAACTATCAAAACTGAAAGCTCCTTTTAAAAGGGAGTGGCTTGCAGTTTTCCATGCTTGCATGCACTTAGATTCTCTAGAACAATTGGAAGAATAAGATCACTCTTAAAATGGTCTAGCGCAAATAAGAAAAAAAAGAAAGGTTCTTGCTGCAAAGGGGCAGTAAATCCTATTAACCCCCTTTTTGTAAGCAAAGATCACTCTTGCATTTGCTTTCCATCAGCATCTCATCTTAGCTGCCAAAAACAGAACACAACAGAACCCAAAGGGAGATAAATGCCTGTTCAAAACCTAGTTGTGTCAATGCCCCTGAAGACATTAACCCAGTTGTGACTTCCAATTGCTGCACTCACAGAACTGTATTCCTTTGCAGTTGTGGCTGAAAATATTATTATTTGATCCAGAGAGCCAGTATGGCTCTCAGCTTAACCTACTTCACAGGATTGTTATTGTGAAGTTACATTGGAAAGGAGGAAAGAAGCTGAAAGATGTAAACTGCAAGTTGGGGAATAAACATTTTATGTATTTTTACTGTTGCTGCTGACACAATTTTACAGAATTTACTGGATTTAAAAAAAAAGACTAACACATCGAGTTGCCCCTAAACATTGTTCTGAATTGTTCAGTTGTTCCAAAAGTGAACATTTTGCATCAATAGACAGCTGTATCAATAGATAGCTGTATCTAGAGAAGGTTCATGAGATATGAGCAGCCTGTCAGTACCTGTGAACCTTCAAAACTATTTCACATTGAGTAAAAGATGGTTTTGTAACAGAAAGCCATCTGGGATTACGTTCCCCAGGCCACCTGGGTGAATCCCACCCAGAATTTCCCTGGTCCTTGGACCAGTCACTGGATGCGGCACTTGACAAACTCAAGCTTAGGGAACAAAGTAAGTCATTTAAAAGGATAAAATATGAGTGGAGGGACTAAAACACACAGGCTAAAAGGATGAAACTAGGTAAAAAGGGGGAAGGGAAGGGGAAAAGGGGAAGTTGGACAGCAGCAACAATACAGGGCCTTGTTGGCCCTCTTGGACAGAAAAATGCAAACTACTTCTAGCCTCAGCTATACATAGCTCTACTATACCTTCTTCAGGCACAGGGTACACAGGGATGCCACAGCACTCTCCAACATGGAGAACAGGCAGCACATAGAACTTCCCAAGACCTGTGGGGTGATGGCCCATCCTCCTGTCCTTGGGGCCAGCCATTTACTCCAGGTGTGCTGTTAGTCCTTGAAGCCATAATTTCTGATAGCTCTCACACACAACACAAAGGGAGGAGGATGATTCTGGCACCTGGTCTTTCTAGCATTTTGTCAGTTACAGTGTTAACCTTTCCCCTTCAGGTACTATGCTGAAAAATTCTTTTGGGTCTAAGTTAGGAATAAGATCAGTTTAGACATATTAGAAAGATACTAGTTTTTTAGATTTCAAAGTGAATTCTGTGATGTTTATGGATTTAAAATTCATTCTTCCACTACAGTATGCCATAAGTCACAATACAATCTAAGAAAATTCTGCTCACTTATACACACATTGAATTTTTATACTGGGTATTTAAAAAAAGATTGCAAGAATGGTTAAAACACTGAAAGAAGAATATACACGCAAAATGAAAGAATCCACCATTTATCCTTGCGAATTACAGGCCTTTATTATTTTGCATGAAATTTCATTATTTTCAAATGTACTTTTGCTAGACAATAGGCAAGAGTATACAATTTGATTCAATGTAGATACTCTTCGCAAAAAGTGAGTCTCTTTACTCCCCTTTAAAAATATTTTTGGGGTCTGACTTGACTACTTTTACCAGCTGGAACCCATATATCTAAAGAGTGCACGGATTTGACTTTCTATCCTTGGTTACAACACAATGAATGTTACTCATCACAAACACCAGGTTACAAGCCAGGTAATGGAAACCAAAATATTCCAAATGAACCTTTTTAAGCAACAATGACATTCATGGTTTCACAATTCTGAGAGTAAATTTTGGACAACAGCAATGCAATTGTATCACCTCAGAATATAATGAAATAAATCAATGTCTTATTTATTAATCTAATTTTGGAATATTTGGCTCTTTAAAAAATATTTTACCATTTCATTTCTTGTGTGTGGTCTGGTTTGAAAACACACGAGGCAGTATCTAGTGTGGTGCAATTGGTAATTTGAAATTACATGGTATTGGCTTGAATTACTATAGCACAACAGCAATAGTATAAGCTATTGGCATTGCACTCAAGTAGTTTACATTAGCACAATGTAATTTAAATTAGTGGTTGCACCTCACTGGATACTTACTGCCCATATTTTATAAGCTTTGTGGAGTTGCCTGAGAACTGTGGACAAGTAAAGCATTTAGTCTGAATATCAAATATCACCACACCCATGTCTATGTTAGCTAGTAAAAAAGCAATGCATGAGTCAAAGCTGTTACCAGTCTGCATTAAAATTATTCAACAACAGCAATAAAGTAAGTTGGCGGGGTAGTGCAGTGTAGTACAGTGCAGCGCAGTTCCAAATATTTATGGTATTTCTCATACAATTAAAAAAAGCTTAACCTTTGGGCCTTGTGCCTCAATATAATCAAGGTTTAATGTAGTCATCCTAAAATAACCTTGCTTGAAGTGATGGCCTTAAGCCAATAAACTATGCTGTATAAAACACTCTTTTTCAGAGCAATTCAAAGGAAC